GAGGAAGGCACAAGAACATAGTCTTGGTCTGGGTGACCCAATAGCTTAATTAAAGAACAGCCGTGTATCTTGGAATCTGGTGAAAGGCAGTTGCTTTGAATTACATGCTCTTTTGGCTCGGCCGGTGTTCTCTTGACAAGGACTTCTCTCTTTATGGGTTTGTTTCTCAGCTGTGCCAGACTTGCCCATCCCACCTGGTGCTGTCTGTCGGGCAGGGAGACAGATCTTTGGAGAAGCAGCCTCCCATCTGGGGAGGTTGCCCTCCTCCCATTCTAGGGCGGAACCAGTTACCCACAGGCCAGGCAAGGAGCACAGGTCCAGAGGGACCTGTGAGATCACCCAATTCAGCTTCCTCCTTTTATGGATTAATAAATAAGAGATTAAGCGACTGACTCCAGGTAAGCGGAAGAGACGGTATTTGAACCTAGGCCCTTTGACTTCGAATTCAGCACTCTTTCTACTGCCCCCAGCTATGAGGCCAAGTGTACAGGGCCCCATCTCACACTGCCCTCCCTTTATCCTTGCACCCGCATTGCCTTCACGTTCCTAGCCTTCTGCCCCACGGAGTAAATCGTATTGACTTCCAGGACTGACGCATTAGGAGCCAGGCTTCGAATATCAGTCTGAGCACAATGAGCCCTGATGAGTGGAGTGGGGATTTGGGAGTCTCACAGGCCCTGGAGTCTTGGAAAGCCAGATTCCCAAGCAGTCATTCAGTGGGGAAGGGACGATGGCATGTGGCTTCTTTGGTGGGACTCGGCAATTTCTATTAATAGCTGACAGATGCCGGAAGTCTGGCTTTGGCGCCCACCCTTCTTGCAGTTATATATCCTTCTTGGCTTTCTTGGAGCTAAAAGTCCTCATTTCTCTGGAGTCTATCCTATATCTCTGTCCCAAGGGTTTTCAATCATGTCTGACTCTTTGTGACCCCATTTGAGATTTTTCTTGGCAGAGATATTAGAGTGGTTTGCCATTTCCTTCTCCAACTCACTTTACAGATGAGGAAACTGAGGCAAACAGGGTGAAGTGATTTACCTAGGGTCATGTAGGTAGTAACTGTCTGAGATGGAATTTGAAGATAAAGAGAAGTCTTCCTGATTCCAAACCGAGTGCTCTATCCACTGCACTACCTGGCTGGTTTCATGATTCCTACAAAAATGCTGGTAGATAATAGTCTTCCCACTATCAGAGGTATTTAACAGAGGATTCTGAAAGACTAGATAACCTTAAAGATCCAAAGAAATGAATCTCTAATGGTGGAATTTTAAGGCCCCTGACTGGCCAGTTGTGGAGTGGTAAAGGGGAATATTCAGTCCCTATTCTGAGAAGGGCTCTATAAGCTTCACCAGACTGCCAAATGGTTCCATGACACCAAAAAAGGGGAAGAATCCCCTCAGTGAAGGCATCAGGACCCAGATTCCTGAAGGCCGACCCTCAGTTCCCAGTCACTGAATGAGTCATGTCAGACAGCAGCCCCCCTTGCACTCCTGCTATAAACACACTCCTTCAAATCAAACCTGTCTCCCAAGTTCCTGGTCAGTCTCTCCTGAATGATGAACTAATCGTCACCTTCTGATTTCATACCCTTGCAAGAACTGCTCCTTCCTCCTCTCCCATACAAATACACACACTTTGTTCTTGTTCAGTTGTTTCCAGTTGTGTCTGACTCTCTGTGACCCCACTTGGGGTTTTCTTGACAGAGTTACTGGAATGGTTTGCCATTTCCTTCTCCAGTTCATTTTACAGATGAAGAAACCTGGGCAAGTAGGGTTAAGTGACTTGCCCAGGGTCACATAGCCAGTAAATGTCTGAGACTGGATTTGAACTCAGGAAGATGTCCTGACCCAGCCCTCTATGCACTGTACCACCTAGCTGCACACACACACACACACACACACACACACACACACACACACACACACCTTCATACATCCGGAGGCTAGCTTCTACTGCCATGATTTCTCTAGTACCAGCGTGAGGCTCTTAAAATAATCAATGGGTAATGATCAGCAGTGCTGTGTCTACACCTCCTCCTGCACACTTTCCCTTGACAGTCTATCAATTTAGTTCAACTTGGTTGTTGCTTTTTAGCCTGGAAGTGTGATTTCATCAGTATAGGGGCTAGTGAGGAAGAACTCTCTCTCCTAAAGCAGTTCATCTCCTCTTCAGCCTTGAGAGAGCTACATAGGGGCATTGATTGGTGAAGTAAATTAGCTCAGGCAACTCAGTTTGTGTCTGAGTGAGGACTCGAATCCAGCACTTCCTGAGTCTAATGCCAGCTCTCTATCCACTGTGGAATTCTGCCTCTACAGCTGGCTTTACACGGAACAACCCCCCTCTACAGCAATATTGATGGGTGGTCTTCCAGTCTCATCTTGGTCTCTAGTCAGTGAAATTGAACTCACTCCTTCCTGGGGCAGTCATTCCATTTGAGGATTGTTCTAATTATCATGAAATTTTCCTTTCATCAACCGAAATCTGTCTCTTTGTAACTTCCACACATTGTTCTTATTTATGCCCTTTGGGGGAAAGCAGAGTAGGTCTAATCCAATCTTTCAAATACTTGAAGACAGCTTTCCTCTCTCACCCAAGTTGTCTACACACCAAATCTCTCTACCTCCTTTGACTGATCCTGATGTAGCGTGGTCTCCAGTTTCTTCCCTGTCACTGGATGAATTTGAGGTTGTCGACATCTTTCCTAAAAATGGGATGTCCAGAACTGAACACAACACTCCCATGTGGTCTGACCAGGGCAGAGGACAGCAGGATTGGGACCTCTTTTCCTCTGGACAGTCTTCCTCTCTTAGTGCAATCCAAGAGTGCATTAATTGTTTTGGTCACCATGGTATAGTGTTGACTCATGACAAGCTGGAGGTCCACTAGAAAGTCAAGATCATTTTTATAAGAGCATTAGCCCTGCCATGCCCTTCTTTCATTCTGTCCATCCTGATTTTTTAGACCCAAGTACAAGACTTTACATTGAATTTCATATGTTGGTGAATCGGTGATTTTATCTGTGTCAATGCCCCGTATGCCAGTGGAGGTCGTAACCAATACCAGGATTTCTCATCATTAGCCACCAAGGATATCAGGAAATGTCTCGTATAGAAGGTCACACATGAGTTGAGCCTTTTAAAAAAACTAGGGATTCTGGGAGATGGAGCTAAGGAAGGAGGGCATTGCACATATGGGATACCGTCACTGCAAAGTCACAGAGATGGGAAATGGAATGTCCTGTGTAAAGAACAGCTAAGAATGCAGTTTGGCTGGACCACAGTGTTTAACCATAATTCTGAGGGAAGTAATGTGTAATAAGGCTTGAAAGATTATAAAGATGGTGTGAGATTCAGGAGAGAGACAGAGACAGAGAGATAGAGACAGAGACAGAGACAGAGACAGAGGGAGACAGTGAGAGACAGAGACAGAGACAGAGAGAGACAGACGCAGAGAGAATGGGAGAGATGATGCTCAGGTCCCAGACTTGCAGTACCCCTATAGTTAGGGGGCATGCTGTAGATTATGACCCCTAAAAGGGAACAAAGAAAGAATGGTCAGATAAGTAGGAAGAGAATCAAGAGAGAGTAAGGTCCCAAATGTCTAAAGAAGTGAGATTATCTGGAAGAAAGGGTAATCTATGGGGTCAAATACTCCAGAGAAGTCAAGAAGAATGAAGAAAGGACCACCGGCCTCCATAACGAAGAGATCATCAGTGACTTTGGAAAGGGCAGTGATGATGAGTGATGATGGTGGAAGGATGATTGTAGTGAGTTCTGAAGACTGAGAATAGAGGGAATGAAGGAAATGAGTGTAGATAGTATTTTTGAGGAGTTTGACTTTAAAAAAAGAAAGGAGAGATATAGGAGGCTAGCTTGATGGGTTGGTAGGGTTTAGTGAGGGTGTTTTTTTAAGGATGGAGGAGATCTAGGCATGCTTGTAGGCATCTGGGAAGGAACCAGTAGATAAGGAGAGATGGGGTGTTAGAAAGAGAGGTAGGAATGATCATGACGCCAATCAGCTGGAAAACACTAGTCATTTAGCTATTTCTGAATCCACTCAATCACACCATCATCATGCTTGAATCTGTCCAACTTGTCCACAAGATTCCACGTGAGAGACTCACGTGGCAACTTTGTCAGATGTTTTGCTGCAATCCATGTACAGCCAACCATCTTTGTTGGTTGGCCATACCTTCATTTGTCCAAGAGACATTTATTAATCACCTACTCTAACTCATAAATTAGACCTGGTCCTTGTCTTTAGGGGGCTTATAATCTAGTAGAGAAGAAAAGAAGTACACAAATATCCATAACTCCCTCTCACTTCCACCCCCAAATGGGAAGAGAGGCAGTTGTCTTTTTTAAATTTTTTTTTAATTTTAATTTTTAAAAAATTTTTAAATTTAATTTTTTATTTTTTTGCAGTTATCTTGATGAACTTCATAGACAGGGTGGCACCTGACGGATGGAGAACATTTCAGCAGGGGGAGCTTGGGTTGGGATGTGGCTGGAAATTTAAAGGGTAGGAAATGGCAATTAGAAGGAGCTTTAATCTTCTCATCTGTAAAATGAAAGGACTGGGTTAGATGATCTCTAAGCTTGGAAATTCTATGATTCTATTCTTCCTGTCCTTGAGGGTGGAGACTGTTACATCCTTTGGAACACCATTGCCCTGTAGCTTAATGATCCCTTCCCTTATGCCCCAAGGGTGGGTGGGCTGGTTAGACAGTAATGGACTGGGAAGATGTGATACTTATTTACAAGGCTTCAGTCAGATTTTGCTCTTTCTCTGTTTTGGGAGTGGGGAGCTGGTATGGCTATTAACACAGGTAGGGATGGTAATGATATGGTTTTTAATAATACAGGGCTTTTAACTTTTTCTCCAAGGTGTTTTCACGGGGACTTTCTGCCCCAGTGTTGGGAAGCTATGGGCTGCAGTGGCTTGTATCTGCATGTCGAGGTGGTAATGACTGATGTCACCTATACGTCGGTTCATTGCAGGCTCCCAAAAAGGCAAAGAAGAAGACAGAAGGGGGAGCTGGCTCCAATGTGTTCTCCATGTTTGACCAATCCCAGATCCAGGAGTTTAAAGAGGTTGGTTCCTCCAAAATGGAGTCAAGGCCCCCACCTGTCCAAACTTGAGTCGAAACCTGTTTCTCTAAGCAAACTGCATGTGGGAAAATCCGGATATAGAAAGACAGAGAGACAGAGGAGAGACACAAAGAAAGGAGAGGAGAAGAGAGGGGGCAAGAAAAGATGAGAAGGGGGCAGCTAGGTGGCGCAGTAGACCTGTGTTCAAATTCAGCCTCACACCAAACACTTGACACTTACTAGCTGTGTGACCCTGGGCAAGTCACTTAACCCCAATTGCCTAAAAAAAAAAAAAGAAGAAGAAAAGAAAAAAAAGAAAAGATGAGAAGAACAAGGGGAAGAAAAAAGAGAAGAGGAAGAAAAGAGAGTAAATTGGGGTGTTGAGTATGCTCTAGGAACATACCCCCAAAGCTTTCTTTAGATTGTCAGCTCCCATGCTTAGCTCCTGAGGACGTGTGAAATTGGACTCCAGTTATAAAATGTGGATTTACACCCAGTGTTTAAAGAGCACATTGATTTCTTAAATCGAGGTAGACTTGAGGAGACAATGTAGTTAAGTAGAAAGGTCACAGCAGCCAGAGGACCTGGCTTTGAGTCTCATCTTTTGATGATTAACACCTGTGTGACTTCAGCAGTCATTTCACTTCCCTAGGTCTCAGCTGTAAAATGAGGGGTTGAAATTGGCCCCTAAAGCCCCTTCTTTTTTATTTTTATTTATTTATTTTAATATTGTATATTAATTTTATAAATATTATATATATATTTATTTAGTTTAGTTTAGTCTGAGGCCAAATTTGAACTCAGGTCCTCCTGACTTCAGGGCCGGTGTTCTATCCACTGAGCCACCTAGCTTCCCCCCTAAGGTCCCTTCTACCTCCAGAGGGATCATCCTACGATTTAAAAACTGGGCTTTCCCCCTCTCAAAAGGACTTGATACCGATGCCCCAAAGGAGTGGTTTCAAGGGCTGAATGTGGGTGGGTCAGAAAATCTTAGGCCCATTACTTAATCCCACTGCATCTGGGCTGCCATGGAAGACCTTGGGTAAATCGCTTCATTTTTGACCCTCAGTTTCTCCATCTGTATGAGGGGGTTGGACTACATGGCCTCTGGGCTTCCTATCTTCTCTAAATCTGTGACCCGAAATAGCTTTTCCTGAGCTCTGTCTGCTAATTGTCATGACAGACTTTGCTTTGCTGTACTGTTCCCATATCTTTCCCACCTTGAGTTTCCTTCTGTCTGGGAAGAATGAATTGGGCATTTAGCTGGTCCGTCCATAGAAATGGGTGGGAAGAGGCCTGGGGTCATTGAAATACCATCCCTTGAGCCTCACAAATAAAAGCCCTCATGGGTTAAAAAAGTGAATGGCTGGAGCCAACAGCATTGGCTGAGACCCAATGCCAAGTCTCACCAAGTGTTAATCTGGTAAGGGAAGTTTGAGTGGATTTGATTAAGCTTCTCACCAACATGGATTGATGTGCTGAAAGTATGTAATGCCCAAGAGTTCCATAGGCTGAAGAGAGATGAATAATATGGAACAGAATCTGGGCCCTTGTTCTCATGTGATAATAAAATCACATTCATGGCTGGGAGGGAGGAAGGGAGGGGAGCAGGAGGTCGAGAAGGAACCAGGCACTAACGGGCCTTTTGCTCTTTATTAGGCCTTCACCATCATGGATCAGAACCGGGATGGCTTCATTGATAAGAACGACCTGAGAGACACCTTTGCTGCCCTGGGTAATGCTCAGAGATAAAGCATTAGAATGAGGGTCACAATAGCTCCACTTTATAGAATGATTTAATGTCACAAACAACTCCACATATGTCATTATTTAATACTTACAATAAGCCTGTGAGGTAAGTAGTGAAAATACTCATTCGTTCAGTGTTTAGCAAACCCCTACTCTATGCAGAGCTTGAAGCTGGGAGCGAAGGGCCTGTTTTAATAGAGTTTTGAGTGAGGTTTGAGATCTCAGGTAGAGTACCAGGTTGTTGTATGTTGTAGGTGCGGTCTTATCTGGGTCAAGAAGGACTAAACACTGGGGAGGGAGGGAGGGAGGGAGAGAGGGAAGGCGGAATCTTGACCCGGTTTCTGGGCTTTGGTTTGGGGGCTGGTCCTGCTTCAGGTTGGGGGGAATCCCTGGGGAATTAGTGGCTAGTTAATATTCAAAGTCTCTGCCAATGAGAAGAAGTGCTTTTAGCTATTATCAAAGGCCTTCCTTATCTTATCTAGCTGGGTTGACTAACAGGTTTTGGCTTCCTGGCTTCTTCAATTTTAGGGACGGGAAGGCCACTGAGTTCCTTGTGTTCATTTTAGTTGGTTTTTTTTTTTCAGTCGTGTCTGACTCTTTGTGACCCCATTTGGTGTTTTCTTGGCAGAGATACTGGAGTGGTTTGTCATTCCCTTCTCTAGCTCGTTTTATAGACGAGGAAATGGTGGCAAATAGAGTTAAGTGACTTGCCCAGGGTCACCCACATGGTGTCTGAGTCTAGATTTGGACTCGGGAAGGTGAGTCTTCCTGACTCCAGGCCCAGCGTTTTGTGCACTATGACGCCCACGCGGCTGCCCCCATGGATAGGTGTTACTAGCCTCATTTTATAAACGGGGCATCTAAGGCTCAGAAAGGTCAAGTGACTTCCCCAAGGTCACTCAGTAGCAAATGGTAGTCAGAAATCAGGCCTTGCTCTTTTGATCCCACGTCCAATTTACTTCCCAGACCCAGGGACTGTCCCTTACCTCCTTCCAACCTCCGCTCACAGGTCGCCTCAATGTCAAGAATGAAGAGTTGGAAGCCATGGTGAAGGAGGCTCCTGGGCCCATCAACTTCACCGTCTTCTTGACCATGTTCGGTGAGAAGCTGAAGGGTGAGCATCCTTGGGAGCAACAGCAGAGACAGGCAGAGGGAAGGGCGTGTCTGAGGGACAGGGCACCAGGCCAGGCGTGGCCTGGAAGACGGTCTTCTGGGAAGAGTCTGGGAGCTGAGGTGACCATGTTCAAGCTCTGGCTGCTTGTGGTCCCTCTGACATTAGCCGCCATCAGCTTTTTCTGAGTCTTTGTATTGCCTACCCTGTCCCTCCCCCACCCCCGTGCCTGTACTGTTCTCTTTCCTCATTCTACCTCTTGGCTCCTCCGGCTCCATTTAAGATTCTGCCTTTGGCAGACAGCTTTTCCCTGTCTCCCCAGCCGCCAGTTCCTTCTCTCTAGAACTAACTTCCATCTACTTCACATTTCTCTCGCATCTCTTGTATCTACCAAACTACCTACGTGTTGCCTCTCTTATTAAAATGATAATGAGTAATCATATTAACTGGCATTATTTGGCACTTTAATGTTTGCAAAGTGCTCCACAAATATTATCTCATTTTATCCTGACAACGATCCTGGTAGGTAGGTGCTATTATCATCCCCATCTTACAGATGAGGAAACTAAGGCAGACAATATCAATGACAATGACAGGGTCACACAGGTTTTCCGTATGGTCAGGCCTTCTAATGATACTTAGTTGGCTCCATCCCTCCCCTCCCTCCTTTTGGCCCTCCTGAACTCCCGTCTAAGGCCTTAAGTGTTTGTGGTCTCAGGGTTTGGAAAAAGGAAAGAGGGAGCTTAAGAAGGCTGGCTCGCCTTGAGGGAGGTCCTTGGGGGAATGAAAAACTAGGCTGGGAGATTTCCTTTCTTTGAGGTAAAGTGTGTCTTCATCCATAGCCAAAGTAGGAGAGGTGGTAGTTAGCATCTCAGTCGCTGCCTAGCATTCTACCTCTTCCTATGACTCACCTTTCTGAAACAGATTCTGTGCCATCATAGAGACCTACAATCCCTCCACCCCTCAGGACTTTCGCAGACCATTACTCATGTCCTAATTTCACTTTCCTCCGTTTCTGATCTGGAGAATTCTGAGAAAATAAGCAGGACTTTGAGGTTGGGAGAAAAGGAAGGGAGTAGGGAGGAAAGGGGAAGGAGGAGGAGGAGAAGAGGATAGGAGGGAAAAAAGGAAGAGAAGGGGAAGAGAAGAGGGGAAAGGGAAAGGAAAGAGAGGAGGGATGGGAAGAAGGGAAGGAGTGACCTTAATTCCTTTCTTTTCTGCTTGCCATCTCTGCCCTCTTTCCCTTCCCTTTCTCCTCTTCTTCCCTTTCCTCCCTCTTACCCTTCCCTCTCCTTTTTTTATCTTCTCTTTCCTTCTTCTTCTTCCTCTGTCCTTTCCCTCCCCCTCCTCCTTTTCTCCCAGCCTCAAAGTTAGTTACTTTTCTCTTCCTCCCATGGCCCAAGGGGCCTCGTAATTCTTCAAGGAGGGGCACATGTCTTGGTCTGGCTCCATTTGGGAGGGTCAGCTCAGAAGTGATTAGGAGGGATACGCTTCTACCAACAAGCTTAGAGCTATACAGCTCGTTTTCAGGTTTCCCAATGAAAACTATTATCCAAAAGTTACAGTAGAACCTTGTTAATGTGAAACACAAGGGATTCGGGGACAGACTTTGAATGAACTGAATTGGGATTATCTGATGGCTTGATTTAAGAATAAAAGGGGATCTCTCTTGTAGCTTTGAATTAAGAGCTATGTTTGCCTGAGCTGACACCAATTCAGGGCTGGTCTGTGGCGTTGTACTGTTCAGGGGAAAGAAACCTAGGAACTGACCGATAGAGACAAATGAGCAAGAAGAGGGCAGACTACTGCGGAAGCTCAGTCTGGCAAAAAGAAAAATGGCTCTGGAGTCAAAAGATCTGGATTCAGATCCTCCTCTGATGCTTATTACCTGTGTGGCCTAGGGCAATTCACTTACACGTTTCTGGGCCTCAGTTTCCTCCCCTGAAAGATGACGGGACTGGATGAGATACACAGGCCAGGGTCCCCGCTGCTCTTTCCCTCCCTTGATTCTCTGACCTTAGCCTCTCCTCTGTGTCCCACCTTCACGTCACTGAGAGCCCTAGGCCGCGGGAAGCGGGTGCCACGTCCCCAGTCCGCCATCCTCAGGCTTCCTCTTGGCCAGGAGGAGGCCAGCTTTTTTTCATTTGACAAGGGGGAAACAGCTGGGCCTGTCAGGCCCTTCTGGCTGGGCTTTTGTCATGCAAACGATGCTGAGCCAAAAGGCTGCTCGGAGCCAATCAAAGCTAATTGGGACGAAGAGCCTTTGTAGTGGGACCAGAGAGTCAGGGAAGGAACACAAGCAGGGAGCCAGACCCGGCCATCAGACTGGGATTCTCGTTTGCCAACCACGATGCCAGGAGGATGCTGAAAGGTGCCTTCCCTGGGAAATCTGTGGCACTGTAATTGATTTCTGTCATAAAGGGCGAGCTGGGATTCTGGAGACGAGACTGAGCCTTGTACATCGATATCACGGTGCCAGATGAACAGCTAACAAAACTCCATTTATGTTAATGCCATCCACATGGAACTGTAGCTACAGGGAAACAGAGTAATGCAATTTGTCCAGAAAGCAGGGATGCAGGCACATCAAAAGAGCCGCGCTATTTACCAGCTAATCAATAAAGGCTGCCTAGTGCAGCCCGGCTCTGCCGGGCCTCGTGTCTAGTGTAGGGGAGAAGAGGCAGTTTGCATGCAGGAAGGAAAGAAAGGAAGCCTCCCCACGCCCCCACAAACCCATCTCCTGCCCACACGCAGTGGAGTCTGGCTCCAAATGGGCCCCATTCTCACCCTGGGAATGGGAATCTTCCCTGCACCTGGCCTAGAAATTCATAGGCCCATAGAGAGAGACCTGGAATCATGCCTTCTCCTATGCTGATTTCTCTATTTTATCCTGTGCATACATATTTCTTTGCATGTTGTCTCCCTGTTAGACTGTGAGCACCTTCGTACCAGGGATGGTTGTTTTTGTCTCTTTGTATCCCTAGCACTTAGCTCATAGCTGGTGTTCCATTTGGTCATTTCAGTCGTGTCTGACAATTCGTGACCCCATTTGGGGTTTTCTTGGCAAAGCTACTGGAGCGGTTCGCCATTTCCTTCTCCAGCTCATTTTTACAGATGAGGAAATGGAGGCAGAGAGGGTTAAATGACTTGACCTGGGTCACACAGCTAGTAAGCGTCTGAGGCCAGATTTGAACTGAGGAAGATGAGTCTTCCTGACTCCAGGTTCTCTCCACCGCTCCCTTTGTATCAAGAAAATAGCACCTTTAAAACTCTGCAACCCAAAATTTAAAACCAACGATATCAACCACCAAAAACCTCACTAAGCAATAATCGGTCGACTCCATTACCCTTTGAAAATGGAAGGAATAGCCCTGGGCAAGGTGTATTCATTTAAATAATAATAAGACTAATAAGTCTCATTTGCTGTATTCGACCACATTGCGAACTCCCTTTCCACCCCTTCCCCAAATCTGGCTTCTATCAAACCCAAGTGTAGTCTATAATGACCCTCGGCTTATGATAAGCGGCAATTAAAGTGAACGGGGATGATAAACACCATAATCCATCCTCCCCACGCCGGCCGCTTTAATCTTTCTAATGAACCCTGTCGCTCTCTTGCTTATAAATATTCAGTGACTCCCTATTATCTTGAGGACGAACTTATTGAGGTACCTTACCTCCTGATAGGAGCCTACCTCCGCAGCTGGATTTCACTATTCTTCACACTCATGCTAGGATGAGCCAAGAGGAACTGTCAGCTGGTCCCTGATGTGATCCAGCTTTCTGCTAACTCCATGCATGCCCCCAGCAAGGCAGGAGACCTCCATTCTAGTCCCAGCTATGACATTAGCTTTATTGTGACCTTGGATAGGTCATTCAACCACACTGGGCTTTGCTTTCCTCTTTGGTAAAACCAAGAGGTTGGGGGGAGGGGCAGCTAACCTCTAGGGTCCCTTTCAAAACTGATTTTAATTAGCTGTTTTAGTTTGTTACAAAAGGAAGGCTTCCTGGGTGGGCAGGAGTAGGGGAATGACTGATTTTTTTTTTTAAAGGCATCAATAAAATCTTAATTTAGAAAAAAAATTAAAGGACCCAGTTCAAAAAAAAAAATAAATTAGTCTAAACTTCAAGGGAGGGAAGAGAGAAGTTAAGGGATTTTGTGAAGAAGCTTGTCTTTACCATGACCATCCTGATTTTATTGAAGCAGACCCTACTTCTCCTTAGCCTCAGTCTCTCCGCAGGGACTCCTGGCTACATGAAACATTCTTTGTCTGTTTTGTCCTTCCAGGCACAGATCCAGAAGATGCCATCCTGCATGCTTTCAAGATTTTTGATGTTGAAGGAAAAGGTTTCCTTAAGGCAGACTTGTAAGTTCACCTTTCAAAAGGACGCTTTGTTTTTTTTTCTAAATGAACATTTCATCGATGACTTTAAAAAATCATAGTCATTCCAGATATAATCCCCCTATTCCAGCCCACCTAGTAAGTCTCCCTTTGTAACAAAGAAAAACAATCAAGCAACACCAACTGCCATAGCGGTGACACCAAACGGTATTTGAAAAAAATTGCATCCATAGTCTTCCTCTTCTTTAAGGAAAGGGGAAGTGTGAAGTGAACAGCATTTGGCGTGGCTCGCCACATCTGGAGTAACACAAGGGAAAGCATTTCTTCATCCCGTCTCTATCCCTAGACAGGTAGACAATTATGGCATCATCCCTGGGACACACAGGGGAAAGACATTTTCTCATCTCTTCTTTAGGACCAGGTTTGGCCATTGTAGCTACTCACTGTTTAGCTTTGTTAAAGGATCCACTTTAAGACAAATGTGTCCTCTCTCCATACTGTGTAGAAAGACAGCAGAAAGATCATTGTGATGTCTCAAACTGGACATCCAGGAGACATCTTAAACTCATTTTATCCAAAACCTAACTCCTTATCTTTCCCCCTAAACCCTACCCCTTTCCTGCCTTCTCTATTACTGTAGAAGGCAATATCATCCTCCCAGGCTTTCAGGTTCCCAACCTAAGTGTCACCCTCAAGTCTTCACTATCTCCCCCCCCCACCCCATATTCAATCTGTTGCCAAGGTTTATTGACTTCACCTCCGTAATATATCTGGTGGGTAGTATTTGCCAATTTCTAAGATGTAAATGCTCACACTGAACATTTAACAATCAGCTCTTATGAGCTGATACAAGCTGGCTCCAACATGCCCCCCACCACCCCCAGGTATGGATTGATGGTAGTTGAGATCCCTTTCAGCTCTGAAATCCACTGATTCTATAGAATGGTTACCAGGCCCAAAGTGGGTGGCATGCCCAAAGTTCAAGGTAAAGGTCTCTGAAGCTTTGGATTACTAAACTGAAACTGAGTTCCAGCAAGGTTAAATGACTTGCCCAAGGTCACGCAGGGTTGGGTTTTGCCCAATACCTCCCTTTTCAGTGGTTGACTGGGTCCTTGAAAGGGCATTGACAAACAGTAACAAGGCTGAGAACTTTTTGAATAAATCTGGAGATCATTGATGAGATGATTTTCGAGAGAGGCTGTTAGATGACCTGAAGGTGATCTAAGGTGAGCTTCTGAAATGGTTCCTAATTCTGGACATAGGTTACAAGGCAAGAAATCGAGGCAGAGGAATCCCAGTGGGAATTGCAGTCAACTGCAATGCCCCTCTGGATCCAAACTCTCTTGGTCTATTTCCTATAGATAATACATATATTTCACAGTCAAAATGAAGACAGTTCCCTCCCCCCAGCCAAACTCCCCTCTCTTGAGAGGTCAGAGCTCCCTTTTCTCTGCTCTGTTCAAAGTAGACAGTTGCTTTAGTCTGTCCCCACTGGAGACCGTGATGTTTCCCTATTAGACCTGAGAGTAATGCTGATCATTATGGAGCAAACCATTTAATCAATTCCTGAAATGTCTTTGAGGTTTCCGTTCGTACTCACGGGCTCCCCTGGGTTAGAGATTTGAAGGTTTTGTAACAGATTCTTGGGATGGTGCTTTTCTTCCCCACTTCAAGACGAACCTTCCAAGCCCAATTAATGTCATATTTTAGAACTTAAAATTTTAACGATAATTGTGTTCCATATTAAAATAATTAGATAATTCAAGGGAAAAAAAGCCTCGATGACCTTTAATCAACATTTATTTTGTTCATCTCCATATGAACCCGCCTTGGAGGGGGGGGAGCCATGGTTTGCATCCCATCTCCTTTTGTATTTTCACCTCTCCTCTGGAAAGTTGTGACTCATGCAGTCCATCTGATGGCGGTTGGAATGGGCCTCCGGATGGACAGCCCTGGCCCTCTTTTCCCACTTCTAACAGATCCCCTGGTACCTTCTCCATCCTTCCTCCCCCAGGAGTCGAGGGAGAGAGAATTCAGGGAGTTGACAGCAGCCTTTCCTAGTATGTTCCTAATAATGTGCTTCTCCTGAGGTCCCCATGATGAGGCCCCCATTTCCCCACCCCCTTCATTCTTCCTCCGCCCTAGCTCCATGTGCTGCTGGATCAGGGGAAGTCACTTGCCCCGCAGATTCCAATGATAATCTTTTAAAAGATTGTATGCAAATCAAAGGAACAACAAAATAGTTTCAATATTAGAACCAGTTGATACTGGCCAGACTGTTCATCAGTGAGAGACCCACATCAAGACGCTAGGCACGAATTTCTGTAAAGGCACCAGAAGGCTCTGGTTGTTGTCTTGTTTGGGGGGAAGTTTTTGTTTTTCTTCCAGAAATAAATAGTATGTGAAAAGGACATAACTTTCAACATTGGAAACTGTGACTTCTCCTTCCCCTATAAAATAAATAATGGAAAATGCACATAGGTCTTTAACTTGGTTTCCTTGTGCCCTTGCCAGGGGAGGGAGGGTGGGCCGGGCATCAGAAGATTATAATTAGACACTGGATCCTCCACACCCCTCCCCCATGCTCTTACACTTCAAATTTTCCAGTAGAAATTTAGGCCCATAAAGCCCAAGACTGTCAAGTTTATGTCTATGTGCTCAGGGGTGATTATTCCCTCACCAGTACTGCCATGACCTTGACCTTCACAACCCATGATGTTTTCACTGACCAATGGGACAAAGGGTGGCATCTCACATAGAAGGCACCTCTGAGGACTTAAGAGATGGAGGGGAGACGAGGGCAGGAAATGCTACAGAAGGTCCTATGCCCATTTTTCCAGGGACATGCAAGTCAGGGGAAATCATGGTGGAGTCCCAGGGGAAAATGCTGATAAAACCAGCTGTCCATGTGGTGGAAAGAGCTAAGTTCTAATCCTGCCTCTCTCCCTCACTACCTTTTTAGGGCTCAGTTTCCTCATCTGCAAAATGAAGACTTGGACTAGATGACCTTTAAGGTCTTTCTACATCCAGGAAGCGCAATTATTTGTCTGATGGGCCTCAGTTTCCTCATCTGTAAGATAAGAGGGCTGGAATGGATGGCCTTTAATTTCCCCTCTAGCTCTAAATCCATGACTCTAAAATTTGATGACTAATCTCATTTTAAAGTTTTGAAATAATTTGGTGGATAAGCCTCAGTTTCCTCATCTGTAATTACATTATCTCCCCTCTTTTTGGGGGCCACCCAGGTTTGATCATTATAATTATACAGTGTTCAGTAATTTTTTTGTTCTTTCTATTTACATTATCATGGTCACTGTGTTTATTGTTTTCCTGATTCTACTCACTTCCCTCTGCATCATTTCATATGTCTTCTCACCCTTCTCTGAATTCGTCACGTACACCACTTCTTATAGTGAAGTAAAATTCCATTACATTCCTGTTTGTTCAGCCATTCCCGGATTGATGAGTTCCTCCTTTGTCCCAGTTCTTTACTATTTCAAAAAGGGCTGTAATAAATACTTTGGGGCCTAATGATCTTCCTATCTTTGATCTGCTAGAGATTTATGGTAGTGCTTGCATTTTGAGAGAGCTGCCTGGAGAGGGCAATCCTGAGCCCAAAGAATTAGGACTCTAACCCAAGCAGAATTTCAGGGATTAGGAAGAGACTAATCTACCTGATTCTTCCCATATCCTGCAGCAGCGACAACTGCATCATTTGCCCCTGGAGCCCCGTGGAGGACTAGTAAATATTGAGCCTTAAAAACTTTAGAAGGAGAAAACCAAGGCAAGAAATTGGCCAGCTTTGGTGGGCTGGAGGGGCTGGATCTGCTAGAGGAGGCAGGGAGCTCTTTTTGGAGGAGGATTTTGGTATGAGGAAGGGGGATGACTTCTGATGGCTGTGAGGGCCGGGAAGAACAAATGACTAGAGGTAAAACAAGCCAATGTTATAGTGCCTGGATGCTGGGTTCTAATCACGGCTCAGGGCCTTGAAGGGGGGTGGGAGAGGGAATGCCATTGAGGCATCATTTCTCACGTTTTAGATCTGGACTTGAGGGTAGGTGCTGCTGTGTCATCCTAGTGGCCTTCTTTCGAAGCAGGGACATCTATGAAGGTTGAGAATCGAAGGGGAATTCTTTGGAAGGTCCTTAGGGACCTGCCCAGGAGCAGCCAGTAGGAGAATGGAGACATGGGATCTAATTCCGATTTTTATATTAACTTGCTGTGTGACTTTGAGAAAGACACTTCTCTCCACCTCAGTTTCTCCATTTGTACAGTGAAGGTCCCCACCAGTTCTAACCCTTAGTGATTCATGACGGTTGCAGGTTTTCCATAGTGAGAGAGGAAAGGCACAGTGAAAGGCAGGAGGGGAAGACAGAGCCATCACCAACTGGGAGAAATGATCATCTGTAGCTTGTTACCCAGGGGAATAAGAAGCAGAAGCCGGCTAGCTGGAGAAAACAATATTCTGTTTCAAGGCAAATAACTTCAGTAATAAATAACATGGGAAGGAAGGAGATAAATCCCTGATGCTGTTTCTAAATGTGGCCGGTGTCCTCACTGGGGAGGAAGCCGTGGGGGGTCTCTGGCCACGGCCGGACTAGAATGTGGCTTCATGCAACTACGTTTGGAACGATCCCTTGAGCACGAAGCCTGGGAGGCAGCTTAGGGAACATTCGACTCATTCCTCATGTTTTGCAGAAGAAGAAACTGAGGCTCAGAGAGAGGAACGTGGCCGTGGTTCTAAGGGTGAAGTGTTTCCAAGCCCAATTGTTTCCTGCCATGAAATGAAGTAATTTGCTTTGTTTTTTATTTTAACAGCATCAAAGAAAAGCTCATGACACAGGCAGACCGATTCAGTGAGGAGGAGGTAAGGTCATCCTTTCTGTCCTTGGGATTTGATTGCTTTACACACAAGGTGCAATCCTCCCCAGAGGCAGGGGGATGGATGTGATGACCTCTCAAGGTCCCTTCCTCTCAGGGTGGGGACCTGTTTTCCTTCAGCTTGACAAGTGAGTTTTGCTGAAGACTGACTTGTTGATACCAGGAATTCCCTACACTGACAAAAGCAAAGATCCCCTCTGTATCCACGTAGAGTGAGGCCAGTGCTTCTGTTATGCTTCCCTGCAGGGTGGTTGTGAGGAAAGCAAGCACTTTGTCAAATGCTCAGTAAATGAATTGTTATTATTACATTTCCCTGCCAGATTGTAGACAGACAACCATGAGATAGTGGACGGGGGCTGACGTAAGAGTCAGGAAGATTTGGGTTCAAGTTCAGTCTCTGATACATACTAACAGTGTCACCCTGGGCAAGTCATTTTCCTTTTCAGGGACCCCAGGCCACTCTCTAAGACTTTTAAGTTACTGAACAGATACTGATCTGCCTCTCCTCACTGGGAGTCTCTCTGAGGGGGGATGGATTGGAAGTGAATAAGCATCTTTATAGCACCTACTATGCGCTAGACATTGTGCTAAGTGCTTTTTACAAATATTAACTCATTTGATCTTCACCACAACCCGGTGAGAGTTGGTTACTGTTATGATCCCCATTTTACAGTTGAGGAAACTGAGGCAAACAGAGATTCAATGACTTGCCCAGAGTCACACAGTTGAGTAAGCCTCTGAGGTTGGATCTGAACTCAGGTCTTCTTGATTCCAGGCCCAGTGTTCTATCTACTTACCCACCTAGCTGCTTATACTGATGAAATCACAGGTTTGGTCTGAAAAACCAGACTGTAGGCTTCTTGAAGGCAGGAACTCAGCCTTACTTTTTTTGGGTGACTCTTACTGATGGGAGAGTCTGGAGGAAAATGATGCCACTGTCACAGATGCCCAAATATGGATTCTCTGAAGAATTCTGCACATTCATTCCTCATACATACTGTGGGCTGGGAAGGAGAATGGCGATTTTTCCTTCATTAACTGACCAACGGACCGAGTCCAAGCAAGGTTTGGGGATAGGCTGGACTCAGTGACCTCAGCGGTTCCCACCAGCGCTTGGACGCTGAGATGTTCTGTGACCCTCCAGGAAAGGCCTGGTTAGGATTCATATGGGGAGCAGAGCTCGAGGCTGTCCTGAGCTCAGCAAAGGCTGGGAGGGTTCAGTGGATTTGGATGAGGGTTCCCAGCAGAACTCTCCCTCCAGTGAGACTGGACAAGGCATGTCTTTGTCAGAGAGGAGGCCAGCTGGACGGGATTTGGGGTTCTTCTCCTCCCCCCTCCCCACCCCGTGGATGCCTGTTTCTCGAATTTATTTTCCAGGTCAAACAGATGTTTACAGCTTTCCCTCCAGATGTACGTGGCAATCTCGATTACAAGAACCTGTGCTATGTCATCACCCATGGCGATGAGAAAGACTAGGTGGGGGGAGAAAGCCCCCAGTGTCTCCTCTGGAAGCACTTAGTGGCAAAGGTGAAAGGAATGAGGAGGCTTCTACTGGAGATAAAGAGAAGAAAAGTCTCCCCACTGGCATGCGGCTCATCCGAAAAGAACCAAAAATAATAATTAAAAAAATGGAAATGAGGTTAAAGTTATTCTATTTAATGTTCTAGCCTGGATAAAAGCTGAAAATTCCAATTCTGTTAGTTTTTCCCACACTTAAGATAAAAAAAAAACCTTTTGGTGGTTTCTGCTGGAATTTTCCTGACGAGTTGTTGCTTTTAATTTATTGACAATTTTAATGATCACCAGATGGCCCATAGGATAGAGGAAACATCTTGGCAGCCCCTCCCCCCCAACCACCCATTGCCTGGGCCAGACTCCGTGCTCCCAGCTATTGCATCATAAAGGGTCTTTGGTAACCAGAATTCTCTTCCACTCCTTGGCCTTTTACATTAGATATTTAAGTGGAACCGAACTCTAGGTTGGAAGCAAAGGGAGTCTGTTGGTTTATCTTGGGAGTTATTGCACAGATTTATTTTGAAAAGTGACACTAAAGATGTTTTCAGAAAGTCCTAGCTTTCTTGAGACCGATTTCAAAGGATAACCTATTCAGCACCTAGCTTGGTGCCTGGTACACAGCGGCATTTAATAGAAGTTTATTGATTGATGGGTGGATTTGTTGGACTCTCCCCCTAACCCTCCACCCTCCAATACCTATAAGGATAGCCGCTAAGTTCCCGAAGGAAGCTTACTATTTATAAGAATCTTACGGCCAATCCCTCCAGAAGGCAAAGTCTCTCACTCTGATTTTAAATAAGATTCATTACAATCAACTTGACCATTGCACCCCACGGACCATAGATTGGAAGGTGAGGTGAGGTTGATGTTAAGGAAAGACTTCTTAACAATTTGGGCCACTCGAAATAGTTTTCTGCCTTCAGACCTGAGAAGCCATCTGGTCCAACCCCTCTCCCCTTTTACAGATGAGAAAACTGAACCCTGGGAAAGTAAAATGACTTACCCCAAATCATGTAGGTATTCAATGGCAGTGTCAGCATTTGAACCCAGGCCCTGTGATCCCAGAGCTAGTATTTCTTGTGGAGCCAGGTACCTGATAGCCAGAAGGAGCCGTGGAATGACAAGCTGGAGAAGGATGTAGATCCACCTCTGTGTGGACCCTGGGCCCAGCAGTGACACGAGGAATTCATTTTGCCCGGGCTGGGCTTGACTTTTGCCCATACTTAGCCCGAGGCAGAACTCCCAAGGCGATTTGTTGTCCCACCTTCCCCCAGACTCCTCTCTCCCAGTTGCCTTTACTTTCACTTCAGTTCCCTACTGACAGTCCTCCAGGGCCATCCCACGCCTAACCTCCTTCCCCCCAGATAAGAGCCATTGAATATATGACTGTGAGGGCTATAGGGGTAAGAGAAGAGATTACATTCTGTGAGTTGAATTCCCACTTCCACTCAGGTGAGAAGCAGGGACGGCCCTGTACAAGGTGCCTGGAGGGAGATAAGACCCCTGACTGGCTGCAAGGACACTTTGAAGGAGGACCTGGGGCATGGTGGAGTGAGGAGAGGGAGGGAGGGAGACAGAGACAGAGACAGAGACTGACAGAGAAACAGAGAGAGACAGAGAGGAGAGACAGAGAGATAGAAAGAGACACACACAGAGACAGCGAGAGAGACAGAGAGAGACACAGAGAGAGAGAGGAGGTACAAAATTTTGAATGGAGGACTGGAGCCCCAGGCACGGACAAGCCTGCCTCCTATCATGTCCCTTGACCTCAGGGCCTGCACATCTAGAGACCGCTGAGAGTGGACATCGTGGTGAGATCACGCCCTTCCTCCCTTGATATGAACTGAGGTGTCTCTCCCCTAGCCAAAGGGTTGGGAGACTGGAGGAAACATCACCCAGCCTAAACAATACAGGCTTCTGACTACCTCCCTCCTGTCCTCCCCCCAGTTGTTGCTGGTGCACATGTTCCCCCGTGCCCCCAACCTCCTAATCTTGGCAAAGGTGGACCAGACCTTGGATCATATCCAGCTGAGCCCCCTAGAGCCCCTCCCACAGACATGGATCCCCTCCCCTGCTTCCCCATGTACACAGTAAATGAAGATCACCTGGGGGTTCATTTTGAACTCGACAAACTGAGCATTTCCATACAGAAGAAAGGGAAAAGGAGATTACATACGAAACCACACATCTCCACTTTGTTTCACTCTCATCTCTTCTCAGAATTCTATAATAAACCCAACAAAGTTTCAAAGCTGTCCTGCTTGTCCGTGTCTCCTGCTCAACCCCCTTCTGTTTTCTTCGGTGTGTTTTTATATTTTAAAAATTGTTTCTTTTTTTTAAATTGATTTATTTTGAATTATCAACAATCACTTCCATAAGCTTCTGAGCTTCAAATTTTTCTTCATCTCCCTCCCCACCTCCGTCCCCAAGACGTTGCGCAATCTGATGTAGGCTGTACATATACATTCCCATTAAACATATTTTCCCATTAGTGATGTCGTAAGTAAGAATTAGAGCCAATAGGAGGAACCACCAGAAAGAGGAAGCAAAACACAACAGAAGAAAAAAATTAGCAAATAGTATGCTTCGATCAGCATTTGAACTCCATAGTTCTTTCTTTGAATGTGGATAGTATTTTCCATCATGAGGCCTTTGGAGATGTCTTAGATCCTTGTATTGCTGGGAAGGGTTAAGTCTATCAATATGAGTCATCGCACAACGTGGCTCTTACTGTGTACAACGTTCTCCTGGTTCTGCTCACTTCACTCAGCATCAGACTATACAAGTCTTCCTAGGTTTTTCTGAAGTCTACCTGTTCATCATTTCTTATAGCACAATAGTTTCTGTGTGTTTTTAAAAAAGGCTTCGACAATTCTTATCTTTTTTTCACTTTTTTTAAGAGGGGGAGGAGAAAATCTCTGTTGCTATTTCTCTTCTCCCTTTCAACCTTTCCACAACTTGGTAACAAATAAGCATAGGTAAGCACAACTATTCCATGCATTCCTCATGTGTGAAGATTTTTATTTTATTTTATTATTATTTTTAGTGAGGCAATTGGGGTTAAGTGACTTGCCCAGAGTCACACAGCTAGGAAGTATGTGTCTGAGGCTGGATTTGAACTCAGGTCTTCCTGACTCCAGGGCTGGTGCTCTATCCACTGCTCCACCTAGCTGCCCCCATGAAGATGTATTTTTCATCTGGTGCCTCAAGTCCCTCACCTCTCTGGTGGTTATATTTTAAGAGAGAATCCTGAAGAAAGCAATTCTGAACCCAAAGGAGTGATATCATCAGTTGATGTTCAGTCGTATCTGACTCTCCGTGACCCCATTTGGGATTTTCCTGGCAGAGATACTGGAGTGGTTGGCCATTTCCTTCTCCAGCTCATTTTACAGATGAGGAAACTGAGGCAAACAGGGTGAAGTGACTTGTCCAGGGTCACACAGCTAGTAAGTATCTAAGGCTGAATTTGAACTCATGAAGATGAGTCTTACTGATTCCAATCTCAGTGCTCTATCCAGTGCTTTACCCAGCTCCCAATATCATTAATTATGGAATTTCAAACATCCATTGGGGAGATATTTGGGGACAAAAGGATCTTCCCAGGCCACTCACATCACACTACGTAGACAGCTGTCCCTTTTGCCCAAGAGGCCAGCTTGGTCTGTGAGCATCTGTGTAGATACTTACACAAGTTCTGAACCTAGGATCTGTGAGCATCTTTAAAACATTTGTATAGGGGCAGTTAGGTGGTGCAGTGGATAGAGCACCAGCCCTGGAGTCAGAAGGACCTGAGTTCAAATGTGACCTCAGACATGTAGTACTTCCTAGTGTGTGACTCTGGGCAAGTCACTTAACCCCAATTGCCTCACTGAAAAAACAAAACAAACAAAAAAACCCCCCATATTTGTATAACCATATTTCTTTTTTAAAAATCTTATTTAATATTTTCCCAATTGCATGCAAAACAATTTCAACGTTCTTTTCCCCCCAAATTTTGAATTCCAAATTCTTTCCCCTCTTTCCCCCCTTCCCCATTGAGGAGGCAGGTAATTTGACAAATGCATATAACCATAATTCAATGGAATTGGCTTCCTTTGTAATCCTATGTATTTTGAATTATTCATTTAAAAGCATTATTCTGAGGAGGCATCCATAGGCTTCTCCATCATGCCAAATGGATTCATGACATAAAAAGCATTAAGAATTCCTGATTTAGTCCAATCTCTTCATCTTACAGAGGGGGAAACTGAGGCTGAGGGCAAAGTGACTAGTCCAAAGTCACACAGGTCTTTGACAGAGACAGGATTTGATCCCAGGTTCTATGACTCTAAAACTAAGGCTTTCTCCACTGTCTTTTTTTTTAAATGGGGGGTTGGTGGGTCTTGTCAATTAATATATAGAATAAATAAATGAATAAATGATTCCATCCTAGGTTGGATAATGACGATTGAGGAAAAAACCTCAGGAAGGGGTAGAAAAACCTTCCTAGTGCTTGATAGCAGTGTGTGTGTGTGTGTGTGTGTGTGTGTATGTGTGAAGGGTCTTTGGTGCTCAGGTCTTCCTTCTCCTGGCTTGGGTCTTTGCCACATCCTGACTTCTTTTGTACTCTCCAGGAGCTCAGTTTTCACGGAAATACCTGCCAAAACCTTGGGAGTCCCATCTTTAAGAACTTGCTCAGCCTGTTTGCTGCCCAGTGATCCCGAGCAGGGCCCAGCCTTCTTTCCTGTAGTCAAGAGACACCAAAGCCCTCCCTAGTCTGGGACACCAGGTTGCTTGCCTGCAGGGCTCCAAGCTGGGGCTCATACATTCCACCCTGGCATCTCTGGGCTTGTAGGTTTGCAATTACCAGATATGGCCTTGTCTCCAGCAAAGGCAAGACTCAGGAACCCTCAGATCCCAGAAGCAGACATGAAAAGGAGGGCAGAGATGTGCCAGGAGAGACAGAGTGTCGGTTCAAGAAA